GATACATAAACAGTCCTTCCTCAGGTAGAACATGTATCATGATACATAAACAGTCCTTCCTCAGGTAGAACATGTATCATGATACATAAACAGTCCTTCCTCAGGTAGAACATGTATCACGATACATAAACAGTCCTTCCTCAGGTAGAACATGTATCATGATACATAAACAGTCCTTCCTCAGGTAGAACATGTATCATGATACATAAACAGTCCTTCCTCAGGTAGAACATGTATCATGATACATAAACAGTCCTTCCTCAGGTAGAACATGTATCATGATACATAAACAGTCCTTCCTCAGGTAGAACATGTATCATGATACATAAACAGTCCTTCCTCAGGTAGAACATGTATCATGATACATAAACAGTCCTTCCTCAGGTAGAACATGTATCATGATACATAAACAGTCCTTCCTCAGGTAGAACATGTATCATGATACATAAACAGTCCTTCCTCAGGTAGAACATGTATCATGATACATAAACAGTCCTTCCTCAGGTAGAACATGTATCACGATACATAAACAGTCCTTCCTCAGGTAGAACATGTATCACGATACATAAACAGTCCTTCCTCAGGTAGAACATGTATCATGATACATAAACAGTCCTTCCTCAGGTAGAACATGTATCACGATACATAAACAGTCCTTCCTCAGGTAGAACATGTATCATGATACATAAACAGTCCTTCCTCAGGTAGAACATGTATCACGATACATAAACAGTCCTTCCTCAGGTAGAACATGTATCATGATACATAAACAGTCCTTCCTCAGGTAGAACATGTATCATGATACATAAACAGTCCTTCCTCAGGTAGAACATGTATCACGATACATAAACAGTCCTTCCTCAGGTAGAACATGTATCATGATACATAAACAGTCCTTCCTCAGGTAGAACATGTATCATGATACATAAACAGTCCTTCCTCAGGTAGAACATGTATCACGATACATAAACAGTCCTTCCTCAGGTAGAACATGTATCATGATACATAAACAGTCCTTCCTCAGGTAGAACATGTATCATGATACATTAACAGTCCATCTGAAACGCTGGCCAACCAGTAAAATTACCCAGCCGCAGCGAGCATAGTGATCTCTCCTCCCTAGGTCACCAATGACCGATAAGTAGAGAGCGACAAGTGAAAAAAATCACAATTCACGTACAGCGTTGTGCTGCAACTGGAATGGCTTGTGTTCTCTCTCTTTCAATTCTTCCAGCTTCTTCCTGTATTCAGACAGGCGCTCCCTCTGCTTCTTCTTCATCCACATCCGCAGCTCTGCCTTTTCCTTCTGGCTCCTCTTTGAAGTATTTTGAAGCCTTTGCCTGTGGGTACAAAGCAGCCGCTGAGTCTTTCAACATGAATAACTTCTTTGAAAAGATCAGGCAGTGCTGGCTGGGAGCAAGCCGTGACAACACCCAGGGCTTTAATTGCACCTGAACTAATGACATCCGGCACACCTGTACATAGCCATCTTGGACTCCATCCATCCCCATGTACTCAGCATTTCCTTTACACACTGCGGGTGCAGGAGCTTATTAGAGTGCAGGAGTACTAGACAGTTATTTGGAATGTATGCTATGTCAGTAGTCGGGTACTAGGGGTACATCAGAGGCTATGTATTTTGGCAGTAAGGCCCAGTGCACACTAGTGTTCAAACAGGCACTTGGTAGAAAATCCCAATATACCTCAAGCATTACCGGAGGCATGGGACAGGAAAAGGTTTATTGCTCTTATTTGCTTTATACACACAGCTGTACAGGAAAAGTGTTAAAGGAAAGGGGATGTTTTGGAATGAGCATAGACTGAAGTGTCCACGGGTGATGTAAAGACTCAGGCATAATCCTAACCTATCAGGTCTTTAATAGAGATGAGGCTGGGCTTGGTGTGAAGCCAGTTCACCTGAGTTCGTCCAAGTCTGCACAAAAAAACCACAACCCGTTTCCTCCCAACCCAATAAGTTGCAGGGAGGCACATTCCCAAACCTGCACCTATATTTCCCTAAGGGGTGGGGAATGCCCCCCTGCAGAATTGCAGAACATGATTGGGTCAGTAGAAGGAGGTGGTGGTCACAGTTTTGAAAGGGCTTGAGTGAACACAGGTGTACTGGGTTCACACCAAGATCAGCCTCAAATCTGGCACTTAACAAAGACAAGGCTAACAACACTGATAAAATACAGGCAACATGTGGTTTCTGCAAATACCTTTTGTTATTCTTTAGATCAGTGTGTGTCCCTGTGAAACCCCTGAACTCCAGTACCAGGGTGTCTACAAGGCCCGATCTTATTTAAGTCAGCATTGGGCCCCACCACTCCTGACACTGAGCACCACCCACCTCTATTAAGTTTTAATGTAGAATACGGAAGGAATAGAAGTAGGAAGTAGAGGAAAATCCCATCCCAGACAGTTGACACCAGAAAATGATCCCTTTCTATACCTGCTAATAACTAATACAAAATGTTGGATTTTCCCTCGTTGTCTGTCTCAGGGTCTATAGTTACCAGGAAAAATAGAAAGGGTAAATCTCCCAGTAGGAACACAATAAAACCTGATAAAGGGTTTTACTCTTCCCTACTCCATACAAAGGGAAAAAAAAAACTTTGGCTTTAAATATCCTCTTAAATCATTAATAATCCTGATTTTGTATCTACATTAACTTTTCTTGTGAGATAGTAAGGTGTGGTACCTGGAGATGGCATGTGCCTGGGTCTCGGTCAGTCCAAGTTCAGAAGCGGACACCCCTCCCTCCATCAGATCAGTCAGAATGTCAGCAATGTCGCTGAGCCCGGTCATCTGGAGCTGCTCGCTTACAGTGCTGCTAAAGAAATGGACTTGGGTCAGAGTGACTCGCATGAATCATACCATTACTGACCATTAACAGAAAGTAAAATACTATATGAAAAGTGCAAGACTGCCCTGCTCACTAATTCAGAATTGCTCACACTTTACTGCATATTTAAAGGAACACAAAGCCAAACACCTGTGTGATTAGGCTCTGATGACAGCAGCCAAGCAAGGCATGCTATCTTCAGATGAACAGGTTTATTTTAACTATCCTCTAATAAGTATGTTACACATACAAAACAAAGTCTGCTTACTTTAGAGTCTATTCATACAGGTTTTGCTTTGTTTCTTTGAGGATAGTGAGTGGAGCTATGCAAATGTTTTCTGCTTTATGCCCCATAGCCAACTTTACAGCCTGGACCTCTGGCTTAGAGTAAATCTAAAAGGTGTCGCTGTAATTTAGTAGTGAACACAAGGAGGAGGATAGGGAGTATATTTTGGAAGTGTTTAATTTTAAGAAGGATATACAAGTTCTAAAGTAATTGTACAATGTCCTATAGATCTACTAACAAATAAAAACAAATCATTTGCAAAACAAATGATTTGGATTCCTCGGTTCACAAACTTAATTCCACGATTCTGGCCGAAAACTGAAGGGGAAGGTTGTTTTGCACTCAGTAAGGGAGGGGGAAAGGCTGTGTGGCTCTCAAGGGGGATCCGAACGTTGTCTGTAGTCGGGCCGGTCACAATCAGGCAGCGGTGACCTCTAAACAGGCAGATTAGAGGGGTCGCTCGCGGGGGCCTCCCAGGGTCCTAGCGAGGAGGAAGCGGCCGTCTAATCTGCCTGTTTAGAGGCCGCCGCTGCTGCCTGATTCTAACTGCCCCGCATCGCGCGCCATAGGTTCGCCACCGCTGGTCAAGATGGTAGATTGGACAGGGTCAGACCCACAGGATTTAAGTTTGCTGAAGGAGGTATAGCAGATAGTAATCCTACTATTCATTCTCTGAGGGTCTCTCTGTGAGGTCCACTGCATTACATTTGTCAGAAAGAAAGCCACTAAAACCATTACTGTCTGGGTGCCAATGCTGTAGTTTTCAAGTGTTATATATAAAAAATACATCACTTTAAGATTAGAAGTTAAACATTAATTTCCTATTTAGCAGTCACATAAGATAAAGGGAGAATATGTGATACCGGACTTCTATGGTGGAAACTAGAACATGTTGTACCCGGATCACCCAGACATTTATAAATACTTTCTCATAACCTATAATGTTAGTAGGAAAGACAGAGACTCTTAACAGTATGTCAATACCCTAATTCTTTATGTTTGTTTCTGTCAGCAAATCCTAAAGAAATACACAAAGGTACTAAAAACATATAATAGATACAATCTGATAACAAAAAAGGTAAATAAAGATGTAACTGAGGCTCCAGAAATTGCCCTGGAAGCTTCCTTTACCTTTTCTCCATGACGAGTTTGTCTTGCCGGGGATCTGAAACAAGATGAATGTGTTAGTTGTGATCCATTAGTGATCTGAGCTCACAGTTTCCTCTGTATAGGAATGAGCCTGATCCTAATACACAGCTTCTCATTGCTAGGTGACCCAGAGACATCTAGAAACAGTAACTCAATTAGTCCCCAGGGACACTTTGTACCGAGTTGAATAAGGTGATATCTTCATTATGCGTGAAACAAACAACGGGTCGGTGCTCAAATACAATTAAATACATAAGCACATAAAATAAAATCACGCAAGTGAATAAATCTAATTATAGTGAAATTGTACTATATTGTACTCGGTACATACTTAATATCAGTTGTGGCGTAATCCCTTTGTTTGCAACTGTTGCAAGCTATTCTTAATTAGGCAACAGAGCTTGCATATTTCCCTGATGCATACTCCACCAGGACCAAGAACCAGTGAACCAGAAAATATGGTGCAAGGTAATGATGGTTGAAAGAGCTCATGATATCTTGAGAGTTCATTCACACAGAGTTCATTCACAGTTCAGTCACAAACCAGTTTTCATGAGCAATGCCAACAATGATGCTAAATATCTGGGGGTGTATAGCCATGACACGAGACAGAAACTCATTACATACCTGTAAGTGGACGAGCGGAAGGTTTTCCAGTGATAAAGGCCTCAAGAGGTTGTCCATGAAACCTTATATTTCTGGAACTGGGCAAAGTAAACTCTTCCTCCTCAGCTAGATCCTCCAATACCATCTCATTGAGGGTCGGCTCTAAACATAAAGCATATTACAATGAATGTAAAGATACATGGCCAGCACAGTACACTGCAGGCCCCACAATATGAACTTCCCAGGAAAGGAGGAAATACCTCTCCATCCTGAATACATGGTTTCATACAGGTAGGATTTGGTTGATTTATTTCCTTACCATCATGGTTGCATGCGCTTATGCTACCTTTTGGAATATTGGTACTCTGTTAGAGGCATGGAAACATCATGATTGGGGACAGTCAGCTTGGGGTAACCTGATGTCAAGTTATTCTGAAATGGGACTTCAGTAAACGTTTCTGGATGCTATCCTGGCATGCTGGTTCCTATTGTTTATTAGCAATACAAACGTGGCATATGTTTTAACTTTTCCAAACTATAATAAAATCGAAAAAAAGTTTTGTCTGGAGCTGGGTATAGAAAGCAACCAAGGCAAGGCAGATCATTACTGAGCTGTGTTAGGGACACTAACAGTTATCTTGTTGAAGTTTACGAAAACATATAGGGGAAGAATCCTGTGGCCTGCAAATAGCAGCTGCATGCCTGTTATGCTGTTCACATTGACCCCACTAAGTCACTAAGTGGAAATGATCATGCAGCAAGTGAAGTCAAAGGGAAATAAGGACTTCCATTAGGATTTAAAACTTGTCCTGGATCAGTGACTCAGACAGCAACTTCACTTTAAAGTAGGAGCCTTTATTATGTTAAAACCAATAGACATTCTGCAACAGCAGCGTATTGTAAATAGACATTACAAATCAAGTGAACAGTTAACTCTTATTTCACATTATACAGAGCTAGGTATGCGATACGGGAAGCTGCTTACCATGTCCTGGAACTGCAGGCTCTCTAGGAGTTCGGACTGTGTTAGGGTCCGGGTCCAATGCAGTTGCCAGATTTTCTATCGTATTCACCAGCTGCCATCATAACAATTAAACACAACATTAAAATGTACACTTACACATAAAAATGTTCAGCTATGTTCCTGCCCACACAGGCTCTCAGCATTGTTTAAAAGAAAATGTGCAATTTAAGAACACCTTATTTTTATTTAAAGGAGAACTATGGAGGATGATTTCCACTCATCCTCATAGTTCGAGCCGATCTGTGACAATGAAACTGTCACAGGTCGGGTCTATAGATCGGGAAGTGAGGGAACGCATACCGTCGCTTGCTCACTTTCCGATCATCTCCCTGCAGAGAGCGGTGATTGTCAGTCACCGCTCCCCGCAGGGATTGTCCCACTCCCGTCGGATCCTCCGGCGCTGACTGGAGGAATGAACGGGGCGGGCACAGCTGGCTCTGCCTCTAGATAGGTAGAGCCCGCTGTCACTCACGCAGCTGGGTGGATCTCGACAGCATTGTCGGGTTCCGTCCCGAGTGCGGCGATCTCAGTATATAGTGAGCAATAGCTTGCTATATACTGAGCTTTGGGTCACGGGAGGACGTTAGAATATGTCCTCCCGTGACCCTTAAGAGAACTATGGGATAAAAAGGTTAGCCCATAGTTCTCTTTTTTTTTACATATTCTTTATTTGTAAGCAAAAGGGCATGATACAGAAGACAGAGATCCAGTAGCCCAAAGGCTGGGCATAGGCATATATCAGCAACAAAATTAGTCAAATTAACATAAACATTACAGAGCTGGTGTATTTTCATCCATCATTCGCCTCGGATCCGCCCATCCCTCCAAACCATGACCCTTAAGACATTTTGTATATTCAAAACACATATACATAAATGTGACTGAGGTGACGAAGAAACAAAAGACCAGACAAACACATGACAACAGAGGAACAACAGAGGTGATAGAATGCACGACTCGAAACTCCGGCTAGCAGCTGCCCGCCGTCCAGCGCCCTTACAACTCCCAACGCCCAGTGCCGACACCACCACCTCCTGGGCACTGACATTTACGGTGATTCATTCCTGACATAGCTGTGCGCATTCTGAGGAGTCCCTAAATTGGTACCACCCCGCCCAGGTCACCACGAACTTGTGTGGGGACCCACGCAGCGAGGAGGTCAGATCCTCCATCAATTTGATCTCCTCCATCCGACTCACCCACATCCCCACTGAGGGCGGTCGGTTCTGTCTCCACAAGGCTGGGATACAGCATTGAGCATGTGAATCAATAGAGAGCGCTGATATGTTTTCCATGAGGCCGGTAATCTGCGTTACCAGGTCAGCAATTTGGGACCAAAAGGGAGCAACCCTGGGACATTCCCAGAAGATGTGCAGTAAGGAACCCTCCTCCTCCTCGCACCGCCAGCATGTCGCCGGCACCGAGGGATACATAGCGCGCAAAACCTTGGGGACTCTATGCCATCTGGTCAGCAGTTTGTAGCCAGCTTCTTGGTATCTATTAGACACAGAGGATTTTAGAGCAAAGTGCAGCATGCGGTCCACCAGTGCAGGGCTAAATTCAATCCCCAAGTCCGAGGCACATTGCCTGACAAAGTAAGGAGGAGGAAGGTCCGGGGGGCTACGTAGACTGTCCACTAGGTGAGATAACATGTGTCGCACTGGTTCCGCGTTCTCACACAGTGTTTCAAAGTCTGTCTCAGCGGGGGAACCCCTGCCTTCGAGGTCCCATAGTTCTCTTTTAATAAACTCAGGTAAATCAAGCAAGTTTGTCAATGTAACATTTTAGCTTTCTCCTGCCATTCCCATAGATTTCTACTGCAAATGTCAGTGAGCCTGCTAAATCCCATTTCCTGTCATCAAGAATGAGCTGTACTTAGTAGCCGTGCTGACTGTCCTATGCGCTCGCCATAAATAGATATTCAACCAATTTTCAATACATATTTACTTTCTGAACAACATTAAGTAAACAAACAGCAGTAAATATTTTGTGGTCAATTTTTAAAACCCTCATGATTTTAGGGTGATAGTCCTTGTATGTTAAATGGTCGTTTATACAGAGAAATTTCTGAAAGTTTAAAAATAATTTTGTCTGAAATCTCAAATTCTGTAAATGAGGGAACATTTTTGCACCTAGAATGCTGTGATGTCTTTTGTAAACCTCTGATATCCATTTAAAATCAGGCTGCTTGTAGCAAACTTAACAGTGCAGTATTGTGTCAATGCTTACCAATTCGGTATTGGCAAAGTCTCTCTCCATGCTCTCTGCCATATTCTGCAAGGCTCTTAGCTGGGCATCCATGTCATTCATTCTGTAGAATGCATTATTATTTTCTATGGCCCTAGGTGTCCAGAATTTTGAGACAGGTTCTTCATCAGGCATCAAATTTACAGGTCGCTCTGGCTGCATAACACCATTTACAGTGCTGGGCTGGTCATCTTCAAACCATGGCTGACTCTGGAGTATGTCTAAGCATAATAAAAACAATGTATAAAAACCGGAGGCAAGAAAACTAGAGGACGCAAAGTAAATAAGTAAAGCAAAGTAAATAAGCAAAGTAAAAAACTAGAGGACGCAAAGGAAATCAAGCGCTGCAATGTTTTTATAAACACACTGCAGTGCATGTCCAAAACGCACACCAGAAAAAAACATTATGTGAACCATTACATGTGCCAGCTGGTGTGAACAGATCCCCTTTTCAAAATATTCTTTACTTTTGTATTTATTTTTGTTTACACTATTTTCAGAGGGGACTTTTGACATAGGAGAAAGAGCTTGAGGATGCAGAGTTCTCTGCACCAGCAGCACTCATGAATGAACAGGAAAATGCTCAGTACAGAGCACTACCTTTTAATTTACAAACAGAATAGATAGTGAACATGAATCAACTGTTCCTTTATGAATGAACACAGGAGTACTACTAAGCACTCCTGTGTTCATTCAAGAGCTGAACCCTGACTTTAGCAGCCCTTGCCTGCCATCACCATCCCTGCTGCCCTCCACACCTGTGCAAGCTGGTCCCTCTACTCCCCTTGCCAGCAGCTGCACAAAAGGGAGGATCAGGTGCATTAGGGTGGATTGCCGGGGCCCCTAAAGCACCTGAACAAGAAAAGATGGCAGTAATGCCAGTGGAGCAATAAGGGGAGTGAGGACCTCAGATCAATGTAGGAGAGCAGACTAAGAGGTAAGTGTGCCATGATGTGCCAGTATGCCATGCACGGTGTAGAAACTGCCCCAGGAAAACGCTGTGAATTCAGTTCGGCTTTAAGACACACTGCTTGTAAATGACTCTGAACAACTTGGCATCTTCCCTGGCAGCCGAAGACATCACTCTTGCTAATGTTCTTGTTCTCTCTTACCACGTGCCTTGATTATACATGTCAACAAGCTGTGTATGATGGACAGTGTTTAACTGAACTGATTTTAGCTCAACGAAGAATCTAAGATCGGTTAAAGAAGCATTTAGGCACAAGTTACAATTAACAAGCTTTTGCAATTGCAGTCTGAGTGTCCCATCGTGTCTGCATTGATACCTGTAGATAAACCCTGCTGCGGCAAAAGTGGTGATCAATTTTATACAGTAGGTGGGTCTGATATAGTAAGCCAGTATTTTACAGGAGACCTCTTAACTTCAAATACCTAATAAGATTTAGAGGAATGAGAAAAAAAAATTAGTACAGTCTCCTGAAAGTGATACTGGGAAATAGAGGTCTGTGTAACAACTTTAATAGTAATTGAGCCCCTGAATGTTACTCTTTGGACCTGTGTCTACGTGCTTGTGTCAATGGTTTGAGACACTTCTAAGGTCATTAAGAAATCCTTGACATGTTCATAGGTCCTGCAGTCGACCTCCATATAACCTGCTTTAAGTAGGTTTTGCATTCTCATAGACTTGAAGCAAACAAAAGCAAGTCAACACAGGCACTTTGTCACCGCAAACAGGATTAACTGGCAAAATGAATGGCTCTCTACTGTTTACAGTGAACATGGAGGTAGAGAACCACCATGTTGTTACAGCAGACCGGAGAGGCAAGAAACTGCAGTTCAGTCTTGTTTGGCCTAGAAAACCTATATATTTTACATACATTTAAATTATGGTTTATGTATACATTTGCCAAAGGCTAAAGCCCCCTAGCTGTACATCTACACGTAGTTACCTGTGTTAGGAAACATTTCTCTGGACAAAGCATTCTTTTTAGAGGCTGCCATGAGGTGTAGATCAGCTGAAGAAGGAAGCTTGTCCTCTATACCTGGGAAGTGTCTTAAAAATTCTTCTTCATCTAAGTCTGTTACAGGTCGCTGATTTTCTTCAACCTGCAGCATGCAGAAGAAGGGAAATATGAAAATAAGAACTTGATATATTTAAAACAACCGACTGAAGAAAAGTGATGCCTATTCCAAACAATTATGTTTCAGATGACATTTTTCTAGAAAAGGAAGAAGAGGACTGCAGACATTGTAGCCCCCAAGGCTCATTGAGCCCCCAAGGCTCATTGAGCCCCCAAGGCTCTGTCCTTGGACCGCTTCTCTTCTCTATCTACACCTCCTCCCTTGGTCAGTTAATAACCGCACATGGCTTCCAATACCATCTCTATGCCGATGACACTCAAATCTATCTTTCTACTCCACAACTCACCCCCTCTGTGTCCTCTCGTGTCACTAATCTACTATCCGACATATCCATCTGGATGTCGCAAAACTTCTTAAAACTCAATCTTTCAAAAACTGAGCTCTTGATATTTCCTCCTGTCCGTGCACCTTCTCCCATCTTTTCCCTTGAGATTGTTAACACAACTATCCAGCCCCATGCCAAGGTCCTAGGTGTCATCCTTGACTCGGACCTCACCTTTCTTCCCCACATCTAATCACTATCCAAATCCTGCCGCCTTTACCTTCGTAACATATCCAAAATACGCCCCTTCCTCACCAATGACACCGCAAAACTACTCATACACTCCCTTGTTATCTCTCATCTTGACTATTGCAACTCTCTCCTCATTGGCCTTCCACTACACAGGCTATCACCCCTTCAGTCTATCATGAATGCAGCTGCTAGACTCATTCACCTAACCAACCGCTCAGTGTCTGCAACCCCCCTCCGCCAATCCCTGCACTGGCTTCCAATAGCCCAAAGGATAAAAATCAAAATAGTAACAATCAGTTACAAAGCCATCCACAACTCTGCACCCGGCTATATCTCAAACCTGGTCTCAAAGTATCACCCTAACCGTCGGCTCCGCTCATCCCAAGATCTCCTGCTTTCCAGCTCCCTTGTCAAGACCCCTCTACTTCTGAAACCTGACTGACCACTCACGAGAAGCAACAAAGTAAGTTTTTCCATCAGGGCTGTGTGGGGTGTAACATCAGTTCTTTACACTAACTCCCTAATACAGTGGTTCCCAACCTGGAGTACATGGCAGGACGTTTAGGGTTACATGAAAAAAATGTAATAATGGCAGAAAAAGTCAGTAGTGTACCAGGGTGGGGGTGGTGGGTGGGAGTACAGCCCCCAAACAGTAGGCACCAGCAGTGCAGGCCTTGGCGGGCAGAAGCAGGAGGGGGATTGTGGTCCAATGTCACCTTCACCCTGCCTAAGTTTCGTCCATGAACTTTAGTCACGGCATGCTGCCACACATTCTGCACGTGCCAGCCTCTACCCTACAGTCTACACAGCAGCAGCTCTCCCCAATGCAGGGGCCACACTGTGCACAACAACACTCTACACAACAAAGCCTGATGCACTGCAGGATTCAGGGGAAGCCAGAAAAGAGGAGCCTGAAGGTGCCCGAGTGCCCACTGCCTCCACTGTGTGAGCACTGCAATGACACATCATTCTGCCCGATGCCTGCCAGAGCCAGTCGCCATATGACCCTCCAAAAAGCACATGTAGGCAGCCGGAAACATTCTAAGGCCCAACTCTGTCTAAGGAGAGAGGCTGCAGAGGAGCGGACAATGGGACAGCCTTCCATCCAACAATCTTTATATTTTCATTCCCCTGCAGATGATAGCCTGCCTCTGTTTAACCCCTTCATGACTGAGGCCTTTTTTTCATTTTTTGCACCCATGTTATATTCCACATTTTAGGCCTGAAAATTACTTAAAACCCCCAAACATTATATATTTTCTGAATGCCAAGACCCTATACAATATAATGGTGGTAGTTGCAAATTTTTATGTTGCGCAATATTAGCGCAACTCCTTATTAAACCCCAAAATTTAGTGACAAATTTAATTAAATGCCCCAAAACACAACAAAATACCCATTTTTTAAATGAAATATAAAAGATGAGGTTACAACGAGTAAAACGATACCCAACATGCCCAGTTTACAAATTGCGTGCGTCCGTGAAACGGCAAAAAACTGCAGTACCCCAAAAAGTCCACAGAAGATGCTTTAAAAGCCCCCACAGGTCATCAATTTAGAGATATCCCAAAATACTGGCCCTAGAATTATTGCTCTCACGCCGGCGTGCGTGGCGATACCCAACATGTGTAGCGCGTTCGTCGCTTTCATACGTAGGCGCACCCGACGCGTGTTTACGTGGCGACGCGCGTGCTCGCGGGGGACTTTTAAACATTTTTTATTGTTATTATTAGATTTCTTTTATTTTAATTTTATAAACTGTTTTTTTTTTACTTTACTTTGACTGATATCACATAGGGGACTTACAATCTGCATCGCTCTCGGTCCCATAGAACGGGGAGGGGATCGATGAATCGCTTCTGTGTCCCTTCTTCGGGACACAGAAGCGATCTGGCGACAGGTAAGTCGACAGTCGGCTCTACAAGTTTAAATAGAGTCCCGGCGGCAAAAGTCGTCGGGAGTCTGTTTAAACAGCCCCGATGCTGGCGATGTACACTGTACGTCGTCAGTCACGAAGGGGTTCATACTGTGATTGCCAGACACAATTACTGGTACTAGCACCGGGACCTTTTCAGGCTGCTCATCCTATTAATGTTTTAAGGTGTGTATGTGAAGGAGATCATGTTAATATAAACAGCCTTTTCAGCATGCATTCATGCATTACAACGCCTATGTGGATACTTTTTTTTTTAGTTCTGTCCATATTAAAGAAAGAAAATATGTAGAACATAACTGTGCATTCCCTTGAAGCACTGGTCTGTAAAGCACAAACATACCACCATCATATACCAAAAGGGGCAGCATATACACTCCCTTGAACCATGCTGCAGACTTTCTAATGAAAATCCTTAATAAAATAACTCATAAAAAGTCTTACATATGTTGGTGAAGTGTCTTTCTTCTGAAACATCTTTCCTTGCTGCTCATCGTATGGAAGGTTTAGGAAGAGCACTGGAGGCAAGTGCAGGGGGTCATCAGCTGAAATATCATCTGCAGGGAACAGCATTGAGATTACTCACATGAATTTAAATAAGTATGATATGTATGCACTGCTTGAAAAATCTGCTAAAAAATTATCCATATTCCGGTGTGCTTAAAACTGAACTCCAGGCTAACCAGTGAATATTTAGATGAAATACATATAAGGGAGATGTTTCACCTGCCAAACCATTTTTATTACTGTCCAAACCCTCTTGAGAATAACACAGCTCTCCCACAAAGCACAGTCCTATCTAGAAGGGCAGGAGACTTTAACTTACCCTGTTGCAGTTAAATAACGTCTATAGGTCTTGTCCCTCCCCCAGCCTGGGACTTGACAGTTAAAAGAGAAGCAGCTTATCTCTATGTCACTCTGTTCTCTAACTCTATCGGTATGTTCCTTGTAATCGCATGGACACTGCAGCACAACTGATCTCCTCCTTATGGCAATTCTCCCTCTCCTAGTCTGAACTCAGCTATACAGGGGACTCCAAATGGCTGATACTAACTCAAATTGCGAAACAATATATATTTCATGATAATGAATACAGAGCTACATTAAATTGCGTCTTTACATCTGCCTGAAGTTCAACTGTAACAATCAACTTCTTTTTTCCATTATTATATCTATGCATTTTTTTCATATGTATCATAAGCCTACTAATTAAAAAATAAAAAGACTACAAAATACAAAAATAGAATATGGAGCTAGCATCCTGGCCAATCAGGCAGCCGGGCGGCGAGTAATGACTCACTGCTTGGCTTTCCGATTGGCCGGGTCCATGCTGGTTGGCCGGAAGGCCGGCTTTCCAGCTAACCAGCATCGAGCCGGCTTCCCGGGCAATAAGGAAGCCGAGCGACGGATAATGACCCGCCTCCTAGCTTCCTGTCTGGCCAGCTTCCCCGCCAATCAGCATTGAGCTGGCCAAACAGCATAGAGCCGGCTTCCCGGGTAATTAAGAAGCCGGGTGGCATGTCTACCCTGATTGTCCGGGAAGCCAGCTCCATGCTAGCGAAAGTCCGGAAAGAGAAATATCGGTACTTGTACTCGATACCGAAAAATCGGTAACGGTACATCCCTAGTCAGTGAATATATACACTTGTCTGATCACACAAGATTACCTACATGGAAAGTTTTACCTGTTCTGAGCAACAACCAAGTTTGTTTCATTATTAATGGACACAAGAGCAGGAACAAATCATAAAGTATTTCTAATACATCTGTACTGTAACTACCTATTATATCCATGTGCATTGCTAATGGAACTTTTCAAACAGTTCTCTGACACTACTAACAGCTTTCTTAAAAGAAGAAAGGACTCAAAACATCAAATCAGATGTCAGGAAATTATTGGCAAATCTCTCGATGGACTTGTGGAAGAAGAGCAATGATGATGGCAGCTTTTATTTCAAGTTGCACATTGTGTAATCTATTGGTTGCACCTATAGACATCCTAAAGCTGGTCATACACCAAGTGTATTTTTAGACAGTTGTTGATCAACTCGGTGGCCCTCTAGGCAGCCTCCTGTCATCATTCAATCTGAAAATCGAGGTAGCTGGGTGGAAAATTCTCATATGAACAGTGGCTGCGGCACACCAGCTGCCCTCGCAATACAATAGCCACAGTGGCGCATGGATGAAGTAGTCTGTTAGATTATTTTGTTCAATGAGAAATATCTACTAGTGCATGGCCAGCTTTAGCATGATGAGTTGCATGTAAGGGAGAGTTTTACAATGACACAAAAAGGCAACTGAGAGAAAGAAGATCAGACCTGCAGCAGGAGCAGAGGTGGCCATACGATAGCTCTGAAGTTCTTCTGTCCTTTTATCCTGAAGAGGCTTATGTGATTCACTGGGAGCTGCAGCAGGAGAAAAAGCAGCGAGGCAGATTATTATACATCTCTTCATATGCTGCATACACCATTTATAAGTCTTAGTGCCTCAGCTATGAGTGGTGAGCTAAAGTATGGGTTATAACCTATAAATAGCACAGAGTAACTATTACTGCGCTCTGAGCAGATCTTTGCAGATGCCTATACAGTCAGAAAACTGCCTGCAATGGATAGATCTATATATACATAAAACAAATTCATGTGGTAACTGTATCGAGACTAGACAACTGAATTCACAGAAGCTTAAAGAACACCGGTTTATAAAGCTGAACAACCCAAACATGCATAAGATGAAAATACATAAGCAGAGGTGATCTTCAGTGAAAACTGCATATAAAAATGTCAGCCGATCAGGAAATATAATCAACTGAAGTTATAAAAGCAAATAGGTTAAATACAACGTGGGCTTCTCCCAATTCCCGGGCGGTTGAGGATCAGCGTGGTTACCGCGCTGATCTCACAAGGGAGGTTTGAGGAGGTTTTAATTGCATTTCAGCGCTGAGCTCTGCCAAGTCTGGAACTTAAACAGGGCTTTCATTTCTCTGGTCCCAGTGGCCACAACAAAGCAGTATTGGAACAGTGAAAGGTGAAAAT